ATGCTGCTTGGCCTGCTGTGTTCATCCAGCCCTGCACCTTGTTGTCTCGGATTCTCCAGCATCTGCAGTTCCTACTATCTCTGGTTCCTGATCTTGTCCTTTCTCGTCACTCTATTTCAGCATCCACATCTCATTAGTATCACAAGTATCCAATGCCTCTTACCTAAACCGTACTATACAATCTGTACCTCCTGCTTTTCATCAATTCTGTTCTATAAGAAACACAGGGTTTAATTTGTTCTTTTTGGCTAATTTCAGTAGATTGTGGAAAGCATAAAGAAATAGTATAAAAATAATTGCAACTGCATACAATTTCACTTAGTCTGTCATAATCAAATAGTGGTCTTGAAACATATTTGTGGAGTACAGAATTCAGGGCTAGAAGGATTAACCAGATGCGTTCACAACTAATGAAGTTCTACCTCAAGAATGCACAGGATGCTGGCATTGTTTGAAATATGATGCCCTTTGTAAAAGGAAACTGTGAAAACTAAATGATACACTTAAGGGTAATAAAGTGTTACTTTAGAAACAGAAAATAAAAGAGGCAAGTATTACTTTAGTTGTTTGAGGTTTAAAGGAAGTTTTAACAACACAAGTTACATAACAGTGCAGCACATTATACCATAAGTGGATTGCATATTGATCCTTTTTCGTTTGGATGTCATCTATAAAAAAAGCACTTGGGCTGTCAGTATTACCAGTTATTGTATACTAGGTAATGACTGCTTTTCAAAATTCTTTTCATATTGTTACTTAGAAGTCAGAAAACAGTTGGTATATAGAAACTAACTATCAACAAAATTAAACTTTTGTATATTTGCAGGGGGATCAACCCATTTATTGAATGAAGGGAACTAAACTTGCAAAGGAACGGCATGTAGTTCCATCACTTTCAATGTCATGGCAAGATCAAGAATAATATTTTAAACAGACCCAATTAAAATTTTACCATTAGCACCTATCGATCTGAATAAGGTTCTCCTTTTTTTTGACAAGCGAAAGTTGATGATTTTAGGTTGATCTGGAAGACAGGGTTTATTGGCAACGGGGAGAGAAAGGGAGTGAGAGAAAAGCTCCTCATGAAGAGTGCTGGTGGATGTGAGCAGAGAGAGCAAACAGCAGGAACCTGTTCTCGCCATTTTAGAGTTGGAAAATGAAAATGCACTTTATTGACAATCCCTTTTATAGTTCCAATCCTGATATGCAGGCTTCCTTAGTCTTGCACTTTTCAACATTTTTGCTTTCTCCTGGGGGAAATAAACCTCTGTGTCTCACCTTCTTTACATATTCTTTGTTCCTTTACTGCTTCTTCCCACTGCATAACAGATGACATGTTACATCATCTCTCAAATCATTCAGATGATAACTTTCTGTTATTTTCTGCTCATCTGCTTTCCCTTTAGATTCTAAATGAGCCTGTTAATCCCTTGCCTCATCATACTAAAGCAGGGTTCAAGTCTAACATGTAGGCTTGTCTGTTAATCCCAGAGGCTAACAAATCTATTGTGTGCCTGGTGATTCCTATTTTGATTTGTTTTAAGTAAAAGATTATGGTGCCTAGTCAGAATAGCACAGTTGATGGATGGAAATTATTTTCATTTCGTGCCACAATATGGGCGACACAATTCTTAGAAAAAAATAGCTAACAGAGAAGCTCAAAAGAACAGCCAACCCAAACAAAAATGGCATGATATACAAGATGAAACAAACTTACAACTCTACAGTTGACAGGTGGAAATTGAAGGACCTACATTCAGTACGTCCAGAATATTAAATGGCACAAATCTCTGCTGCGGCAGGATAATTGAGAAGGTTGTTAAATAGCATACAGGATCATTGGCTTTATGAGAAGCTTAAAAAAGCGTCAATGATCAACCTTTATAAATAATTTGCATAGGGCTCATCTATTAGAATATAAATGAGACTTTCTAAGGGATGCAGTGATGGAGACCATCACAGATTTATTTCAAAAAGTAATTATTTGAAACTGGGAAACTTACAAGTCAAATACCTCGTCCAAAGTATCAACATTCTGACGAATGGCGGCCTGCAGTACTTGCGAAGTCTACTGTTCTGTGCAGGATTGGATACTAGGTGGTGTGAAGAGAAGTACTTGGGCAAAGTTCAATGAGGCCAAATGACTTCCTGATCAACTTTCTCCCCTTCCTTCCCTTAAAAGAATCTTGGAAAATTGAGAATTCTGATCCCCATAACCAGCCATCCACACACGCTACTAAGTAACAGAATTAGTCTATGGCTATTGTACATCATTAAACCCATAGGAATACTTGAAGATGTTGGTTAAGTTTCACATAATGAAGGCAACACATTGTCTCAACTTTCGAAAAAAAATCCGAGGAAAATAAATTGGTCAGGACTATATTGTAGCAACTTCTAAACTATAAACCCCTTGAGAACACACAATTTGCCACCCTAAGTTTTGCATGGGTCTGGTAAATTGTTTCCTTTTGCGATAACACTTCGGATTAATGCACATTTTCTTCAAAGTTGCAAATTAACGCTAGCCGGTAGGTTTGGTTAAGCGATAGACACAAAAAAAAACCGCTTCAAGTACACAATGTTCTGGGGAATAGGTCACTCTGCCCTAAGCCTGAAATTTCACCCCCAAAAAATTTCCTCCAAAAAAAACACATCTCGACGGAAGTCAAGTTTAAAAAAAAGCGAAACCTCATCAAAACTCAACTGCATTAAACCGGCTGACACTTTTTTTCCCCTCAAATCAGCAAAATATGACGCAATTCGCCGTTTAAGTCAGTCTGTAGTCCCCGTTTGATTTGGTTAAAATGTGGCTGGAAAAGCTACTGGAGACAGTGGGTAAAGCTCACTGCGGGCTCCATTCACATTGCTATAACCGCCATAAGCAAGGAGGCAGATACTGAAACTCAACCTCCATCTAAACCAGATGCTTCTTCTCTCCGTTCCCCACCGCCCTTCTACAGACTTACCCCCCCCCCCCCCCCCCAACAAAAAAAAAGCTGCGGTGAAGAGACGGGGAACTAACAGTTTAAGATGAGCGGTGGAGCCAGACGGCTTTGATGCAGCATGGAGCCACAATGGGCAGAGATGGCTGTAGCAAAACATTTCTCTGCAGTCTTGGCTGTGTACTTACCGAGTCGCCGGGCAAGGCAGTGCTGGGGAGTTGTCGCTGCCTCTAGCTCTCTCTTTCTGTATCCCCTCTCTCTCCGTCTGTCTGAGGGAGTGAGTGAATGAGGTGTCTCTCTCTACCCGGAGCGGAGCGCTCCCCTCCCGTGTGAAAGAAGCAGGAGGCGGCGGGCGGTCAAATCCATTCTTTCCCCTTTTTTTTCTGCTCCTTTTTAATGACGCTGAGTCCCTGTTTACTTCCTATTCACACTCACACACACAAAAATCACTGAAGACCAATAAGCAAGTGTAGGGAGACGGTTGTGGGGGGATTTAATATAAAACACACAAGCTTCCTTATTCTCTAATGTGACACAAAGAGGCACCACCACTAAACCAGCTCAGTTTTATTGCACAGACATTTTTTTAAAAATTATGCAGGAATTTGCTTTATGCCTAGGTCGGAATCATTATTAAGCTTTTCCTTTCGCGTCCCAAGTTTCTACTTTTTCTTTGAATGGGGAGGGGCAGGATGGGGGGGAATTTCATGTTTTTTTTAGAAAAGGCTCAATGCTCGGGTTGGCTGACAGGCGCGGTTTGACTAGTCAGAACCTGTTTCAGTCGGAGTCGACCAGCTCTTGCCACGTTTGGTGTAATTCCAGAGAGAGAGGAAGGCGCTTTGACTTGCAGGCAGTATCTCTGAGTGCAGCGGCTGGTTACTGCAGCAAACTAGGTATGCATGCAATGTAAGGGGCATTGTGTTATTTACCCACCCACCAGGCAAACGGTTCTTAAGAGGGGAAAAAAATAATCAACTTCATGTGCACAGATAGATTACAATAAGCACCCCCTTCACACACACAAAGCTTTGCAAGCTGAATATTGAAAGGAAGGTTATTGAAATGCACCAAAAGTTAAAAGAAACATGCTTTCTCTCTCTCCTCCCTCCCCTTGCCCTGCTGCCACTATGTTTGGTCGCTGCTGACAATAACAAGGTAAGATACACAGAGGCTCAAATTGCTGAGGGCTGATGTTGACTGCCACTCTTCAGTGTTTAGATTGAAACTGTCCGACATCATCGCCCCCAGGGCTCAACCTGTCATTTTTTTTCCCCCAGCGCTGTTTTAAGGTGAGAGTGAGATTCACCTTTTGTAGCGTGAACACCACAGAAAAAGTCTGGTGCAATCCCCCCTTGTGTTATTTTATTTGGGTGGAGGGTTAGAACTGGGAGTGGAAGCCTTTTAACGAGGGGTTGGTGCCAAAACTTCGGCCGGAGCACTTGGGATAAGAATTCTAGGGCCAATTAAATAACATCCATGTTCTAACATAATTCCCAGTATTTGTTTTGTAAACGGGAGCGGTGCTGCACTGTAAAGTACAAGGGGTCAGGAAAGCTGTGTTATACAGGCCGGCCGGTAAGCATAATGCAAAATAAAATGTATGCAAAGATATTTAAGCTGATAGTGGCAAAATGTAAAAGGAGGAGACGGGAAGCTATAAGTTAATAATCAGGCCTAGAAAGGCTATCACCAATGCAGGTTTATATATAAACCACAACCACACGCCACTGAGTCATTGCAATGTATTACCGCATTAGTTTAATTTTGTTTTTAAAGCCCTTGACATTGATAGTTACAAACAACTCTATTTTCTAATTTCTCTAGAGCCTGATTTAAACCCAAATTGCCTATATGCTTTTAAACAAAAAAATCTTAATAAATACTACTGTACAAGGATTGCACAAATCACTGACCAACCTGGGAGATCTTTATAAGTGCCGCCACTGTGTTTCCGTGTGATCTGGCAGGGATTTCCCTCTCAAGGGAAACTCTTCGTTTTTTTTTAAAAAAACCCCGCCAGATGCGATCCAACACGACTGATAAAAGGCACAATAACCACGGGCCAACCCAATGCGAATAGACGATTTGAGTTTTAATCCTTCGAGAGAGTTCGAGGAAATTCAATCGGGGCACTTGTCCTAAAGATTCCCGGAGTGCGAATCGGGTTGGCAATCCGGATTGGAAATGATGTGGAGTAGAAGCGAAACGGTGCACTGTAAAACTGGCAGAGCGAACATTCTCACATACTGCTCCATCCTCAGCCCTCAGTCACTCTGTAACTGCAGTCCGTGTTGAGAATTGATACTGAGTGCTGTTGTTCATTCCTGCTTACGATTTCTCTCTCTCTCTCTGTCTCACTGGCTTTGTAAAATGACTAGCGATGGCTCTCCCCTGCCCGAGCAACCCTATCGGGTGTCCGCTAAATCATTCCTCTGTGTCCACACTCACATGCGGATAATAGGAGGCGCAAAACCGCAGCTCTACTGTTAGAAACCCGAATGAAATTACAATTCTCCACCGCAAGAGATTCACAAAAGGTAATATATTGAAAGTGAGACTATGCCCCATTAACATCAGACGTGTTTGGCTGGGGATTTCATGGACGGTGGTATCTTGCTCAAGATAACTTCAAATGCGCCGTGTTTAATAAAGTCACAGAGGTCTGCAACGCAGGAAGAAAGCCCTTTGGCCCATCTACTCTGCGCCAGTCAGAAACAACCACTAACTATCCAGGGATAGTAGGAACTGCCGATGCTGGAGAATCTGAAATAACAAGGTGTAGAGCCCATTTCTGAAGAAGGGTCCAGACCCGAAACGTCAGCTTTCCTGCTCCTCTGGTGCTGCTTGGCCTGCTGTGTTCATCCAGCTCTACACCTAACTATCCAGGGATGTGCAGGCTAGGCGGATTGTCTGTTTCTGCTCTGTAACTGGCATGTGGCATGACAATTTCATAAATTACATTGTTTTCATGGCAGAAAGGTTACAGGGACAGGGTGGGGTGGGGCGTGGAATGCTCTTTGGAGGGTCGGTGTGGACTTGATGGGTCGAATGGCCTGTTTCCACACCGTAGGAATTCTACAATTCTATTCGAAACCCATGTTCCAGCACTTGGCCCATAGCCTGCCTTATGCAAGGGCATAATTAAATACTTCCTAAATAACAATGAGGCTTAATGTAATGCACTGGCCTAGACAATGAGAGTTGCCAAGCTGTTTTGTATGGGCACACTCAAGATCAAGACGAATATAGTGTCCACATCCATTTGTCACGAGCACAGTTTCCTGTGGTGTAACCTACAGGTTCCTGCTACCAGGAATTTACCATCAGGAAAGATTTGAAAGGCTGCAGGCTGACTTTTAAAATGATGATGGGGGTTAACAGGCTGGGTATGGAGAATCAATGTAGGAGTGGAAAGGGGTACAAAACTAAGGGTCTTAAAGATGAGATAGTAGGAACTGCAGATGCTGGAGAATCTGAGATAACAAGGTGTAGAGCTGGATGAACACAGCAGGCCAAGCAGCATCAGAGGAGCAGGAAAGCTTTCCTGCTCCACTGATGCTGCTTGACTTGCTGTGTTCATCCAGCTCTACACCTGGTCTTAAAGATGAGTTGGTCTCCGAAAAAGAATTCTGGAGAAACCTCTTTGCATTGAGTGTGTTTAGAATGTGGAACATCCCCCAGTAAAATGACTTAAGGTGAATACCGTAGATGCATTAATTAGGTACATAAGCTAAACAGGTACATGAGGGAGAAAACATCTGGAATTGGATTACTACTGTAAAAGGCAGCTGTGTAGAGCATTGAAGACTAGCAGACCATTTATTGCCAAGTTATCAGTTTCTGCCATGAAAACAATGTAATTTATGAAATTGTCATGCCACATGCCAGTTACAGAGCAGAAACAGACCATATGGCTCTAAAGGTCAGTGCTGCTGTTTGTTGCTTCACGTGAACCTTCACTCTACCTACTGCAGCTCAGGGCAGTGTCCTAAACCCTGCCATCTTCGACTGCTTCATCAACTCACTCATAAGGTGCAAATGGAGAGGTTTACTGATGATTGCATGAATCTTCAGCATCATTCACAACTCCTTAGATACTAATGCAGTTCACATCCATACCTGAACACTATTCTTGGGGGTTGGCATTGACCAGAAATTTGACTGGACTCACCACATAAACACAGCGGTTACAAAAGCAGGTCAGAGGCTAGGAATATTGCAGCAGGTAACTCACCTCCTGTTCCCCCCCCCTCCCTCAAAGAGTGTCAACCATCTACAAGGCACAAGTCAGGAGTGTGATAGAATACTCCCCACTTGCCTAGATGAGTGCAGCCCCAACAACATTCAAAAAACTTGACACCATCCAGGACAGAGCAGCCCACTTGATTGGCACTACATCCACAAAAGCATTCACTCCCTCCACCATTGTCTTTCAGTAGCGGCAGTGTGTATTACTAGATGCACTGCAGAAATTCACCAAAGATGCTCAGACAGCACCTTCCAAACCCATGACCACTTCCATCTAGAAGCACAAGGGCAGCAGATATATGAGAGCACCACCACCTTCAAATTCCCCTCCAAGCCACTCACCACCCTGACTTGGAAATAAATCACTGTTCCTTCACTCTTGCTGGGTCAAAATCCTGGAATTCCCTTCCTAAAGGCATGTGAATCAACCACTAAAGGATCACTAAAGGCAAGTAGACTGGAGCATTTCAAGAAGTCAGCACACCACCACCTTCTCAACAGCAACTAGGGACAGGCAATAATGGCTGGCCAGCCAGCAATGCCCACATCCCACAAAAATTAATAATAAAATCAAAGTTTGCATTAATAAGTGGCAGAAACATACACACCATGCATGCCAGGCAATGAGCATCTTCAATGACAGAATTTAACCATTGCTCCTTGATGTTCAATGTTATTGCCATCCACAAAATCCTCCCTTGTCAATATCCTGGAGGTTACCATTGACTGGAAACTGAATTGGAGTTTCAATATAAATACAGTGGCTACGAGAGTCGGTTAGAGGATCGCAATTCTGTGGCAAGTATCTCACCTCCTGACTCTCCAAAATTAGAAGTGTCCACCAGCTACAAGGGATACATCAGCAGTGTGATGAGCGCCTGGATCAGTGAAGATCAAACAACACACAAGTAGCTCAACACTGTCCAGAACCAAACAACCCAATTATTGGCACCGCGTCCAACACTTTAAACATTTACTCCCTTCACCACTAATGCAGAGGCAAAAATGTGTAGCAACTGACTTTGCTTCCTACGAGAGTACTTTCTAAACCCGTGATCGTAACCACTTCAAAAACGACACAAGCAGACTCAGAAATATCACCACTTGCAAGTTCCTTTTAAAGACACACACTACCCCCTGAAGTGGAATTACCACCATAGCTACACTGTCACTGATTCAGAATTCTGGAATTACATTCCTGACAGCACTGTGGGTGTACCTACACAAGATGAATTGCAATGATTCAAGACAGCAGCTCACCACCAATTTTTCAAGGCAATTTTCTTTATTCCTTCACGGATGAGGGTATCTCTGGCTCGGCCAGCATTTATTGCCCATCCCTAATTGCCTAGATGGCAGTTAAGAGTCAACCACATTGCTGTGGGTCTGAAGTCACATGCAGGCCAGACCAGGTAAGGATGGCAGTTTCCTTCCCTAAAGGACTTTAATGAACCAGGTGGGTTTTTCAGACAATCGATAATGGATTCATGGTCATCATTAGGTTGTTATTCCAGATTTTTTTAAATTGAATTTAAATTCCACCATCTGCCATGGCGGGATTAGAATACGGGTCCACAGGACATTATGTGGGCCTCTGGATTAACAGTTTAGCAATAATACGATTAGGTCAACGGCTCCCCAATTTGGGATGGGTAACAAATGCTGGGACTTGCTATGATACACATATTGCATGGATGAAAATTTTAAAAATCACCTTATCACCATATCCTTCTGTTACCTTCTCCATCAAATGCTCATCTAATTCGCCCTAAATGTTTTTAGCCTCAACAACTCCATTTAGTAGCATGTTCAACATTATAACCATATGCCAAGAAATATACCTGCTCAGATTTTTGACCTGTACAGACTAAATTGTATCTAATAACCTAATTATCCAAGATTGGCAATGAGACACAAAGATTGCTGATAGAGCAGGTAGTGCAGACAGGAACATAATATGTCAAGGAGACATTGAGTAATTGAGTAGGTGTAACTATGGGATTTCAAGCAGGAACGCATGAGGTCATCTATTTTGCGACCAGGCAAAAAAGATAGATGAGTATTTTTAAATGGAGAAAACAAGGACAGTGGCGATCCGAAGTGAAAGAGGAGCTCATGTACACAAAAAACTAAAACATAGAGATCAGGTATTTTAAAAAGTTGTAAACTTTCATTCCAGCTCTTTGATAAAGATTAAAGAGGAAATTTTGTCACAGCACATTTGGAGTAACAAGTACAGTTCAGGGCAGGCCATGTTAGAAAAGGATATATTGTTCTTGGAAGGAGTGTAGTTTAAATTCACCAAATGCTAACGCAAGTTAGCTAATGAGGAAAATTCACATAGATTAGACTTGTACTCCCTGAAATCTAGGACACTAGGGGTGATTTGAGTGAGGTTAAGACTTTGAAAGGAATTGATAGGGTGGGTAGAGACATTTCTACCAGCTGGTAGGGAAGTTAACAACAAGAGGAGGTAACCTCAAAATTAGGAAAGATATCCACACAAAGGATGGTAGAAGAATCAAATTCTCACCTATAATAAGCAATTAACATTCACTCAATTATAAATTTTAAATTGGAGAAGGATAGATTTTTGCAAAAGGTGAGGGTATTGATTCTTGGCAAGTGGATGGAGTTAAGTTACAGATTAGCTTTGATCCCATTGAATGACAGAATAGATTGGAGGGGTTTGAATTGCTTGCCCCTGCTGTGGTGTTTGATTTTGAACTCCCCATGAAGTGGAAACATCTTCTGAGCTGACCCTATTGAGCCCTTTCAGGAGTAAGCTTCACATCCATTTTCTTAATCTTACAACTACTTTGCCATATCCTATATGCTGTCCATCCAACAAAGATGAGAAACAGACCAAGACTCAAACCCTGAGACCATGTTGTCAGTGTAGTTCAGTTACAGCCTTCATCAACTGAACCATTGGAAGAGTACTAACTGCAGAACACACTGGAAGCTTTGGAGTACAATTTGTTCCCTTATTTTGTACTTGAGGTCAGGAAAATATGTACCAAATGTAACATAAAGAATAAATTACATATGTTTTGATTACATTAGGAACATTTAAACTGAGTTGCTGAAAACCAGTTCCATCTTGAAAATTCTATTCTCACAGATCAAATTATGCAATACCATTTGAAATTGAAGTGACACAATCAACACTGGAATTAATTGATCAAATTGTCAGTGCAATTCAACATCCAACATGGTACTTCTGTATTAATTCTGAAGAGCAGTCATAGTAAATTCAATTGTTTCTTAGTCCACAGATGCTACCAGACTTGCAGAGTTTTTCCAACAATTTTTGATTTTATTTCAGATCTCCAGCACTGGCAGTACCTTGCTGATGCTGGATTACATGAATGTGGGATATATATTGTTCAGTGAATTGTAGAATGAGAATTGTCCATCACATCTAGCCAAGATCCAGTTCTAGCAATCTGGAAAGTGGAGAAGTTTGCAAATACTTTCAAGTAAGCTTAAATATTTTTCTTCCTATTTTTTAATTTTTCCGCATTTATAACCTGCTACATGTACGGTATTACTGACCACCCCCTCACCTAAATCAAAGCACATGCTCAGTTCTTGCATCAGTTTTATCTTGGCTCTTTTTCAAAAAGACACTCATGTACAAGCAGGCTATGCTTTGCTTTGTCCAGTCTTGCCAAATTCTGACAACTAGAGTGATTTAAGAGAATGTAGAAACTTATAGAGTCATAAGAGTCATACAGCCTGGAAACAGAACTTTCAGTCCAACCAGTCCATGCCAACCATAATGCCAAACTAAACTAGTCCCACCTGCTTGCACTTGGCCCACATCCTTCCAAACCTTTCTTATTCATGTACTTATCCCATTGTCTTTTAAACATTGTAATTGTATCCGTGACCATTACTTCTTCTGGAAATTCATTCCACCTGTGAAGTACACTCTGTATAAAAAAGTTGCCCCTCATGTCTTTTCTAAATCTTTCTCACCTCACCTTAAAAATATGTCCCCTAGTCTTGAAATCCCCCACCGTAAGGAAAAGACACCTGCCATTCACCTTATGTATACCCCTCAAGATTTTATAAACCTTTATAAAGGTCACCCCTCAACCTCCTGCACTCCAGTTAAAGAAGTGCCGGCTGATCCAGCCCCTCCTTATAATTCAAACCCTCCATTCCCAGCAACATCTTGGTAAATCTTTTCTGAACCTTCTCCAGCTTAATAATATCCTTCCCTATAACAGGGCAACCAGAACTGGACACAGTAATCCAGAGGAGGCCTCACCAACATCCTGTAAAACCTCAACATGACGTCCCAACTCCCACACTCAAAGGTCCAAGCAATGAAGACAAGCTTGCTAAATGCCTTCTTGACCACTCTGTGATGCATGTGTTGCAAACTTTAAAGAATTATCTACCTGAACCCCCAGGTCTCTCTGTTCTACAACAGTTACACAGCAACTTCACTTTTTTTGTAACAATGCCCCAAAGCACTTCAAAAGTTGTCAGATCTCACTGAGATAGCGCGCCGGAATTAAAAACCTGTTATTTCTTGAGTTGGTACAAGAGTTTGATTTGTTTTAAAAAGCATATGCAGATTTCCCCAATTTACCTGTCTTTTAGATCCATATCGATAAAACATGGACCAGGTTTCTGTACGAAGCAAGAATTACCATTTATTACGAATTACAAATATATGTTTGTTTCATAGTTTTTAAACTATTTGTTAAACAAACCCACTTGAAATCCCCTTCTACATACAAGTACAAACAGAAATCAGACAGGAAGGAAAACATGGATCTAATGGGTGGAGGGGAAAGATTGGGAAGGCAGTTCAAGGGTTGTAGTTTGCAGGGTTTGTTGAGATGAAGCCTTTACTTCTGAGAATGTTGCTTCAATCTTCTTTTTCGAGATTTCACTTGCTTGCAAGAGCATAGAATGATTGGTCTGCACTTAGGGTCTCTGACTTATCAGTTAAAAGTCACAGCTTACAGCTACCGATAAAATTGGTATAAACCTGCTATCTTGAGGCCTGAGATGTTTGTTTTACTGTAGGGAAAGTTGGCAACTTGTGCCTTTTTAAAGATCTAACAGTTTTTCCCAAACCAACACACGCTCATGCTGTTCAACTCCCTGCAAGTCACTCAGTCATTGACTTCGTCATCAATAACTGGTCACTAGTCCATAGACCAAACCAATTACTTGTTGACAACCACAGATCAAATTCTGCACATCCCTTGGCTCCAGCTACTCTGCAATCTAGGTTTTGACTGGAACAAGCAGCTGTGTATACAGTATTTACAATAAGGCATGTTACTTGCTGTTGATAAAATGTATTCTGTCAACAATCCTTGGCTTCTGAAAAGTTTAAAGTTCTTTCCCCATTTCAGTCCACAATCAAAGATACAGAAAAATAAAAAAAAGGTACAGTCTTTACAAAGTGGTGATGGATTTCAAGCAGAACTTTAATGATGAGTTATAGAGGTGAAGGAGAAATAGGTCTTGAAGATGGAGAGATGGATTGAATTATAGATGAAGATCGAACTTAATCACCTATTTTCAAAATTGCCATAGAGATTTAACATTGTGGAAATTACAGGATTGCCCATGATGTGGATTTAAAAGGAATCAATGCATACTGTATAAATGAAAAATAAATCAAACAATAGTGGTCATTGCTGAAAATAAACCTTTCCAAATAACTTTGCCTCTTGTGATAGTAAGTAATCAGACCTCGAAATTACTCTTATCTGGTGTACATTTAAGGTAAAACTTTCCATTTATTTGTGGAACTGTAAAACAGTGAGATTTAGTCAGAGATAGTAGGAACTGCAGATGCTGGAAAATCTGAGATAACAAGGTGTAGAGCTGGATGAACACAGCAGGCCAAGCAGCATCATAGGAGCAGAAAGGCTGACATTTCGGGCCTAGACCCTTCATCAGAAATGGGGGAGGGGAAGGGGGTTCTGAAATAAATAGGGAGAGAGGGGGAGGCGGATAGAAGATGGATAGAGGAGAAGATAGGTGGAGAGGAAACAGACAGATCAAAGAGGCGGGGATGGAGCCAGTAATGGTGAGTGTAGGTGGGGAGGTAGGGAGGAGATAGGTCAGTCCAGAGAGGACGGACAGGTCAAGGGGGCGGGATGAGGTTAGTAAGTAGGAAATGGGGGTGCGGCTTGAGGTGGGAGAAGGGGATAGGTGGGAGGAAGAACAGGCTAGGGAGGCGGGGACGAGCTGGGCTGGTTTTGGGATGTGGTAGGGGGAGGGGAGATTTTGAAGCTTGTGAAATCCACATTGATACCATTGGGCTGCAGGGTTCCCAAGCGGAATATGAGTTGCTGTTCCTGCAACCTTCTGGTGGCATCGTTGTGGCACTGCAGGAGGCCCAGGATGGACATGTCGTCTGAGGAATGGGAGGGGGAGTTGAAATGGTTCGCGACTGGGAGGTGCAGTTGTTTATTGCGAACCGAGCGTAGGTGTTCTGCAAAGCGGTCCCCAAGCCTCCGCTTGGTTTCCCCGATGTAGAGGAGGCCACATCGGGAACAGCGGATGCCGTATACCACATTAGCAGACGTACCACCCCACCAACCTCCGGATCCAACGCATCATTCTCCGACACTTCCGCCATCTGCAATCCGACCCCACCACCAAAGACATTTTTCCCTCCCCACCCTTATCTACTTTCCAGAGGGACCACTCTCTCCGTGACTCCCTTGTCCGCTCCACACTCCCCTCCAGCCCCACCACACCCGGCACTTTTCCCTGCAACCGCAGGAAGTGCTACACCTGCCCCACACCTCCTCCCTCACCCCCATCCCAGGCCCCAAGAAGACTTCCCACATCAAGCAGATGTTCACCTGCACATCTGCTAATGTGGTATACTGCATCCGCTGTACCCGTTGTGGCCTCCTCTACATCGGGGAAACCAAACGGAGGCTTGGGGACTGCTTTGCAGAACACCTACGCTCGGTTCGCAATAAACAACTGCACCTCCCAGTTGCGAACCATTTCAACTCCCCCTCCCATTCCTCAGACGACATGTCCATCCTGGGCCTCCTGCAGTGCCACAACGATGCCACCAGAAGGTTGCAGGAACAGCAACTCATATTCCGCTTGGGAACCCTGCAGCCCAATGGTATCAATGTGGATTTCACAAGCTTCAAAATCTCCCCTCCCCCTACCGCATCCCAAAACCAGCCCAGCTCGTCCCCGCCTCCCTAACCTGTTCTTCCTCCCACCTATCCCCTCCTCCCACCTCAAGTCGCACCCCCATTTCCTACCTACTAACCTCATCCCGCCCCCTTGACCTGTCCGTCCTCCCTGGACTGACCTATCTCCTCCCTAACTCCCCACCTACACTCACCTTCACTGGCTCCATCCTCGCCTCTTCGACCTGTCTGTTTCCTCTCCACCTATCTTCTCCTCTATCCATCTTCTATCCGCCTCCCCCTCTCTCCCTATTTATTTCAGAAACCCCTTCCCCTCCCCCATTTCTGATGAAGGGTCTAGGACCGAAATGTCAGCCTTCCTGCTCCTATGATGCTGCTTGGCCTGCTGTGTTCATCCAGCTCCACACCTTGTTATCTCAGATTTAGTCAGAGTCTAGGTGCCAGCATTGTCTCATTTGTACTAAGATTGTACTAACGTGGAAACTTTTGGTCGAACAGCAAAAGAAGTATGTAAAAGAATTGGAAAAAACAGCAGGAATGAAGGAAGAGCGTGAAGAAATTGGAATATTACAAAACAGTAGCACACGTTAAGTGTAAACACTGTCTATTTTTGTTGAAGACCTTGAATGTAGCAGCCAAGTATTACACAGTTCAGAATCAGGTGTCCAAGTAGGAGCAAGAAACCTGTGTGTGGATTCTTGGTACATGGGTTTTCAAAACCATTTGCAATTACTTGTGGAATACTGGTAGCTGTTAGAGAGCAGGAATGTCATTGCAGCCTTCATCTTTTAGATACATAAGAAAGAAAGATAGATTTGCAATTGTATATTGCATTATGTCTCATGGAAATATCTCAACATGCTTCTTGTATAAGTAATTGCTTTTGTAGTGCCTTGTTTTTCCATCCAGTAAAGTGGAATTGCAATCTGCAGACGATAAACTACCAGTTATAAGATTAAAGTCTGAGGAGCCAGATTATTTGCTGTTGATAATGTTGAATGCATGAGAAATATTTGCCAATATACCTCAAAAACCATGCTCCTCTAAATATTATCAGTGGAATCTTTAGTAAAGCACTAGAGTACAAAATACTGATATGACACTTAAACTCACCATCAGGAATATACTTCCATCTGAAGATCAGAAGTAACTTATGAATGAGAAGGCTATTTGGCCCATATTCATTCACAAGTTCAGAATTACATTAAAGTCTGGAGGCTACTGTGTATGCAGAAGGTGAGAGAGGAAATGAAGTTGGGAGGGTCAGATCTCTCCCTTTTCTGTAGATTGTGTGGAGAATTGCAAATGGAACTAGATTA